GAAAATATGCTACGCCGACCACAAATAAATGGGATAAGGACGAAGCAGATGATGATCTCACACTGCCACCTCAACCGCAGATAAAAAAGCCACATACCCATATTCCGTTAATTCATTTATTACTCCAACTAGCTATTCGCCCCGGTTTCGCACTGGTGTACATGTATTATATATATAAAGCTTCCTCTTGAATCATTCTATCTATTAAAAAACCGCTTCAAAATCCGTTGCGTAGTTTTAAAGATTTAAGCATACGTAGGGACAGACAGCGACAGCGACTTTGTTTTATACTGTGTAATGATTGTATAAAAAAAATAGTATTTTTGTGTAAAAATATTTTAGACATTTTATATTTTATTTAACTAACTGTAACAAGATTAATGCGATACCACGCTCCATCAGTCGAATCACCATATTTGAAGGTGCTTTTTCATTTTCCATTGTCTCCCACATTTTCTGTGTACCGAGATTACAATACTTTCAATATAATTCCTCTTTCGGGATATAAACGACTTATTTTTCATCGAAATTGGTTTTATTGGTGTTCTCTCGATTGTTCGATGTGATTTGTTATAATAATACTTATTTGTTTTCTTTTATAGCTGTACAATACTAATATAATAGTGAATAAATAAATAAATAATAAATAAGTAACGCTGGGAATTAATACAGCGCCATCTAGTCCCACGGTAAGCAGAGCTGGTGTTATGGGTACTAGACAACTGATATAAATACATATTTATATATACAAACAATCATACTCATGCCAAATTCGAACCCGCGACCATCGGAAGTAAAGCAATGAGTTAAACCGCTATGCAAATAAAATGAAAAGATGAAAAAGATACCCTATCTTTTTTATCTTTTTTCTTCTTCTTTTGTCTATAAGAGTCAAAGGATCGCATCTTTGACTTTTGACCACCGAGATCGTGTATTTGGAAGGTTGTGTTTTTAGGTAACAATGCTGATTTATTACCGTCACCCATGTTTATATCACGTACGTAATTTCGACGCGCGGCGCATGATCGTTTTGCCTAACAAATTGGAGACGTGCTCTCATGTGGCGGCAGCTTGCCACTTAATTGCAGCCCTACGTTAGGATCACGCCGCGAGTTGACGTGATTAGGATGTTTGGTAATATATAGCTATAAATTAGAATTAAATATCTTCAGGAATTACTTAAATGACGTCATTTCATCATCATCATCACCTAATGTGATTTAGTGGAGTAACTTGAAACAGTCATGCTCGCTATAAAGTTCAAACTTGTGGCGGCGTGATGGACCGGGTCAATGTGCTCCAGGACTGACTTAATTGACGTACTAGAGTAACTTGAAACAGTCATGCTCGCTATAAAGTTCAAATTTGTGGCGGCGTGATGGACCGGGTCAATGTGCTCCAGGACTTACTGAAATGGTGTAGTGGAGTAACTTGAAACAGTCATGCTCGGTATAAAGTTCAAAATTGTGGAGGTGTGATGGGCCGGATCAATGTGCTCCAGGAATGACTTAAATGACGTACTGGAGTAACTTGAAGCAGTCATGCTCGCTATAAAGTTCAAAGTTGTGGCGGGTGATGGGGCGGGTCAATGTGCTCCAGGAATGACTTAAATGACGTACTGGAGTAACTTGAAGTAGTCATGCCCGCTATAAAGTTGAAACTTGTAGAGGCGTGATGGGCCGGATCAATGTGCTCCAGGACTGACATAAATGACGTAATGGATAGAAAGATAGATAGAACATACTTTATTTGTAACATACAGTAAAGAAAAGGCATAAATAATGTATTAAAGGACACAATAAGGCGGCCATATTGCTGAAAGCAATCAGTGGAGTAACTTAAAACAGCCATGCTCGCTATAAAGTTCAAAATTATGGCGGCGTGATGAGCCAGATCAATGTGCTCCAGGACTGACTTAAATGACGTAGTGGAGTAACTTGAAACAGTCATGCTCGGTATAAAGTTCAAAATTGTGAATGCGCGATGGGCCTGATCAATGTGCTCCAGGACTGACTTAAATGACGTACTGGAGTAACTTGAAGTAGTCATGCTCGCTATAAAGTTGAAACTTGTAGAGGCGTGATGGGCCGGGTCAATGTGCTCCAGGCCTGACTTAGATGACGTAGTGGAGTAACTTGAAACAGTTATGCTCGCTATAAAGTTCAAACTTGTGGCGACGTGATGGGCCGGGTCAATGTGCTCCAGGAATTACTTAAATGACGTAGTGGAGTAACTTGAAACAGTCATGCTCTCTATAAAGTTCAAAGTTGTGGCGGCGTGATGGGCTGGATCAAAGTTCTCCAAGTGTAATAAAGGCTGGCTCATCCATCATTCAAGTGAACAGGTGCTGCTTGTGGGGACTGGTCTATTCGGGAGAGATCTCTTTTAGGGATAAGTCTTCCTTGGTTAACTTTGTACGTAATTAAGGTACCTAAAAATATATTTAAGTGCAATAAAGAATGTATATAATTTTTGGTGTACGCCAGATTCGAAGTTAGGACTTTTATAACTAAGTTAAGGTTGACTACCTTAACCAATAAGGCATGTCGTTCTCAAAAATTTATTTGTATAAAGATTTTATATCTGTTATATGCAGACCCACATCAATATTTCGGAAGTTTTATACAACAATATAAATATATACCTATTTAAATTATTTCACTACATAAAAATGCTTTTATCTGTAGCAATAAACATTATCAGAGGAAACTCTTTTATTTCCCAATAACAACATGATTGTTATGACAATTTACAAATATATAACGTTTGCGATGTATTTATTACGTCTTTGAAATTCCACTTTATCTTTAACGAATGTTCTATTTACTTCTGTTTTTTTCGTGTGACAAGATACAGCAAATATGTAATATATATATGTACATGTATATATTGTATGTATATGTTTATATAGGTATGTATATATTTATATATGACCATCTTAGTTCATTTTCATTTCAAAAGATAGTAAACATGTTACTCCATCACGCATATACTTGTGAACGGATTTTGATGAAACTTTATAATAAAATTTATACGTCAGAATAACACGCGCGCGAACGTGTGTGTATCTGTGTGTGTGTGTGTCATGTCATAATACTTCAAGGTAAGGTACCCAAACATTACACTTTAACCCTTCTTTCAAAGTCGTTATCAATTAGAAATCAACACGCCTCTAGTCTAAGTACGACCACACGCCCGCAGTGTTAGTGGCTGTGGTAATAAATGCTCATGAACGTGGAAACCAGATCCTGATGTTCTCGCTCATTAACAACTTGCAATACAAAGTTATGTTATTACTCAGCTGAAACTTATCTCGCTGCATTATTTAACTGACGTGAACTGCTGTTAAACTGCATTGAAAGCATTACTTTAACTGACAGACTATGGGTTTATGATTTTATACAGGGTGTAAGCATATATATATTATGTTCATTTTGTTAATTGTATGATTCTTATTATAATACAATAACTGCATGTAGTATACTATAAATATTAATATATAAAATTTTCGTGTCACGTTGTTTGTACGGGATGGAATCCTAAAATATTAAACCGATTTTGATGAAATTTTATATGTACATTGTGTAGGTCTGATAATAGATGTTATTTATTTTTATACCCCTAAGCAATCAAGGTGGCCCACCACAAAAAACATTCTTTAATTTTTGATATAATTTTTTTATGATACGTCATAAAAAAAAATGCAACCCGAAATTTCCATCCCAACCCCATTTTTTTCATAGTTATTATTTCATAAGGCAAATCAACGTTTGCCGGGACGAGAGAATTGGTCAGTTACACGTATAAATACCTGCAGTGTTTCAGACGTCCATAGGCTACGGTAACCATTTACCATCAGATGGGCCGTATGCTTGTTTGCCACCATAGGTAGTATCAAAAAAACCTACATGGATTAATTGAGTCTGTATTTTATCGAATTAGCTGCTATTCGGCGGAAGTTCATTTCATTACTTCAATTAATTATATTATTTTATTCAATTCTGCTGCCATTTGTATGTATGAGATTAGTAATATTCAGTGAGGAAACATCATCGGGATCGACTTCCAGATAACTTTAAGTTGTTGCCCATCTTTATTATCTTTAATTAGTAACATTACTGTATCTAAGAATGCAGTAAAGAATATACGGCAATTAATTTTGAACTATAGTAGTTAAAACATAAAGCACATTTTTGTAACTTTCACACCTTTTCCTATATTGTCTATAATTAGTATTATTACTCTATCTAGAAGTGTAGTAAAAAACACGACAATTAATTTTGAACTATATTAGTTAAAGCATAAAGCACATTTTTGTAACTTTCACACCTTTTCCTACATTGTCTATAATTAGTATTATTACTCTATCTAGAAGTGCAGTAAAAAACACGACAATTAATTTTGGGCTATAGTAGTAATAATATAAAGCACATTTTTGTAATTTCAATCTTTTCCTACATTGTCTATAATTAGTATTATTACTCTATCTAGAAGTGCAGTAAAAAACACGACAATTAATTTTGGGCTATAGTAGTAATAATATAAAGCATATTTTTCTTTAATGAAATCTCTTATATAAAAACTACATAGTTTCAAAAGAATATACAACGATTAATTTTGAGCTATAGTAGTAAAAATATAAAGCATCTTTTTAAATCTTTCACACCAATTCCCACAATATCTCTTATTAGTAGTGCAGTAAAGAATATACGACGATTAATTTTGAGCTATAGTAGTAAAAATATAAAGCATCTTTTTGAATCTTTCACACCAATTCCCACAATATCTCTCATTAGTAGTGCAGTAAAGAATCTATGACGATTCATTTTAAGCTATAGTAGTAATAATTTAAAGTATCTTTTTCTATAATGAAATCGTTCGTTACACATATGAAAATTAGTACAATTTGAAGTATAGAGTATTTCCTTTGTAAATAGATGTTCGTATGAAGTATGTAATCCATTCATAAGTACTTAATCCTATTAATAGATTACACTCACCCTCGTCCGCGATCTAGTGCCTTGTTGATACTCCGAACCGTAACCGCGACCCTGAAACAAACAAACTGCATATTAAAATTCGTAATATATATACTTACTATAATACTATAACAATATAATAATACTAAATAACTGTTGGACAAATAACACAGCGCCATCTAGACCCAAGTTAAGATAGCTAAAGCTTGTGTTATGGGTACTAGACAACTGATATATACATACATATGTAATATTTTTTCGTAAATACATAGAAAACACCCTGATCGATACAAACAATTATACTTATAAATATAAATGTGTGCACTGTGCAAGGAATCGAAATAAAAAAAAAACTGTGGCCTGATGACCACAGTTTTTTTTTTTTTTTAATTTGAATTGTATGACTATTCAAAACTGCTTATACTAAGTTTATTTGATTACAGATTATTTCTATTATATTCTATATTCTATTCTATTTCTATGTAAGTTATCAGGCCACAGTTAGGCAAATAGAGGCAAGTTCCATCATTAGGCCGTAATCCGCGTGTAACGCCACTAATTCAGTTACACATCGCTTATTTCACTTAGGCCTGCTAACAAATTAACATACATGTTACTTGGTTCATTTCTAGTACACTGCACCGCATTATTTTTTTAGTACTAATGAAATACCCTAAAAATACAAATAAGATTATTACGAATATTGTAAATAGCGCCATCTAGTATTTATAGACCAACCTATTACACTGACTTTGGTCTATAAATACGGAGGTCGGTAGTTGAATAATCCTCTTTCGTTGCGTGAGCCGCGGCATTCAGTCGACGAGCGCAGAGCGTGCCGGTTGTGTTTTGGATACAAAAGTGAATTGTATTAGAAATGGGTTTATCCCGGTCTTAGTTGGGCCTGGGGGGAAACCTGCAAGTAGTGAAGGTGAGTATTAAATGCATTCTAAAAGGGCCTTTTAAACCTACACCCGTGTCACAAGTCACGGGCGCTACTTGGGGTTTCCCTTGCGGTAGCCGGCTTCAAAGCCTCAGTCGTCAATCATAAGTAGTGCTTCTTACATGTTGCATTGCATAATTATGGTATAGTGGGGGAAAGGGATTGTTACTAATGGGGACTCATGACCACATTACTAGCAATGTACCATGTTAGGTTGACCTCCCTGGAAGCAATGGTGAATTTGTCACGATGGGCTAACTGATCTGACCTCGTGTTCATTTTGATCCGACCTCATGTTCATCTTATCATCTGGTGCCCCGTCAGTGTAAACCGTTAGCGCAGGCTGGTGCACCATTCCATTATCATCCATAAAAAAAAATGGTACAGTAATTAATTCACATAATATGCACCTTTTAAGCATTGCAACGTGGAAGATAGGCGGACGTTTTAATATTACTCACTTTTCTTTTGCTATATTAATTACTTTTTATTCTATTACTAGCTACTCGCCCGGCTTCGTACGGGTGTACATGTATTATACATATAACTTCCTCTTGAATCACTCTACCTATTAAAAAAAAACCGCTTCAAAAACCGTTCCGTAGTTTTAAAGATTTAAACATATACAGGGACGGACAGACAGCGAAAGCGACTTTGTTTTATACTATGTAATGATTCTATTATATAATAATATATTCAAAAATATTTCTATATACATCATAATGTGATAAAGTGTTTATATTGGTTAATAATATCTCAGGACAATTCACAAAACGTCGTTTACTTACAACTGATAGAATTATATATATACATTTGTGTATATATATATATCGATCATTTGAATATGACTGTTTGTATAAGTTTGTGTGCTTTGTATTATGGGTATTAGACAACTGATACAAATACTTTCATATTATTTACGTTGTTAACCGGGTTTTAACACGAATAATTTTAAGAAAAATATGAGTATATGTATCTACCTCTTTCAACGTTTCGACTCGGTTATAAATAAGGCATATTAAGCAAGAAACATCAAAAATAACAAATACATAAATACATACACAATGTACATAGAAAACACTCAGATACAAATAATTGTACTCATGAATACAAATATTTGTATCGTGCGAGGAATCGAACTTGTAACCATTAGGATTAAATCGTTTAACCATCACAGTAATCTGATTTAACCGCTTTCTGATTTAACTACCATCACAGTAATCTGAATTAACTGTGACCGAACAAAATATACAGATCCACTTAGTGTTCTCCAATAAATGTAGCTGACTGTACTTCGTGAAACTTATATGATGTTAAAGTTGGTGAAGCTCTGCCTCGGTTTTGTTACTGAAATAGTTAAGGTTCCTAAGTGGATAAATAAAGTTTTAACTTTAACGAGTTATTTATCGAACTCACGTTAGATTTGTTAGCGTCAGTGGTTTAGTTTCCCCCGTGGACTGTAGTTCGATTAAGTTTTAAGTTCAAATCACGGTAACTATTATTGGATATATTCATAAATGTGCTCGCGGTTTCATGAGAGTTATTTTAATAAAAAAATATGTAGTTATTATTTTGATGCTATATTATTGTAAAGTTTCATCAAAATCAGTTCAGTAGTATTTGCGTGAAAGAGTACCAAACATCCATACTTACAAACTTTCGCGGTTATACTATTATTAAGATTACTATACTATACTACTAGTATTAAGATTAATACTATGTAGATTTAAAAACAAACTTCCTTAAGTATCGTTTAGAAAAAGTTAATGGGTCTTTAACGGGAATGCAATTTTGGAATGCAGCAAAAATATTGGAAGCAGATGAAATTGCTGGTTGATACATTTTTTATACTGGTAGCAAAGCATACGGCCTGTCTGATGGTACACCGTTATTTTACAACTATAGACGCCTAATACATTATTCTATATTTAAACTACTATAACAAAATATATTTAATAGATATAGATATAATGACGACCTCGGTGGTATAGCGGTGTAGCACACCGCTTTACGACCGATGGTCGCGGGTTCGATTCCTCGCACGGCACAAATATTTGTATTCATCAGTATAATTGTTTGTATCGGTTTGGGTGTTTTCTATGTATAATATGTATATATGTACAAAAAAATCTATGTATACGTATCAGTTGTCTAGTACCCATAACACAAGCTTTAGCTAGCTTAACTTGGGTCTAGATGGTGCTGTGTGAATTGTCCTGAGATTACTATATTACTATATTTATTGAAATAAACTTAAAATAAGCACATTGTAAAGCCATCTTTTTTTATTCTACGACTCAATATGAACGCAGATTGATCACAGGAAGAATATATTTTTATTATTGTTGCTAATTTAGCAATAAACCTAAACGAAGGTAAATAAAACGGCGACGGCCACGGTGGTCTAGCGGTTTAGCATACCGTTTTACTTCCGATGGTTGCGGGTTCGATTCCTCGCACGGTGCAAGCATTTGTATTCATGACTATAATAATTATCTGTACCGGTCTGGGCGTTTTCTATGTATATTATCTTTGTGTTTACAAAAATATTGAAGTATTTATATAATATGTTTAGTACCCATAACACAAGCTTTGCTTAGTTTAGGACTAGATGGCGCTGTATTAATTGTTCAAGGTAAAAAAAATGAAAGCGAAATACATCTGACATTGTTTCAAATTATGTGTTTACATTACAATTAATTACTAAACAATAAAAAGCGTCTGAGTAGAAACCTACCCACAGTTTTATTGGCCGTTAAACCGATCAGTTAAAATATTTTAACTGTACGCAGCAAGTTAAATTAAACGACATCAACAAGTCAAGTTATTGTACAGATAAAACTTAACTGTTCTTATGAGGGAGCACTTAACATAATTTGAGCAAGTTTAATTCTTACGGTTAAATTGACTTTGATATGAAGTTTTATTGGATTAACCGTACGTTTTCCAATGTTGACTTTGTATAAAGTCTTGGTAACATTTGTTTTATGTGTTTCTGCAAGTAACTTGCTTTTGTAATGTGTCGTTTTGAGTGAAGGGATATATATTAAATAATAATATTAAATAATAATAATAATAATATTTCAGGACAATTCACACAGCGCCATCTAGTCCCAAGCTAAGCTAAGCAGAGCTTGTGTTATGGGTACTAGACAACTGATATAAATACATGGATACATTTTTATTTGTAAATAAATACATATTATACATAGAAAACACCCAGACCGATACAAACAATCATACTCATGAATACAAATATTTGTACCGTGCGAGGAATCGAACCCACGACCATCGGATAGTAAAGCGGTGTGCTAAACCACTAGACTACCGAGGCTGTCTATTATTTTAGTATTGTAATATTATGAACGAGAAAGTTTATGAATGGATAGGTGAATAGATGGACGTTTGTTACTCTTTCACGCAAAAGCTATGGAACCGATTTTTATAAAAGTTTTCAGTAATATAGCAGAACACATGAGCTATAAATTTCACATGGTTAAAACCGCGGGCATAGCTAGTATACTATGTATTACGGGAAAAGGAGGCGTACTTACATGGAAAAACTATTTTTTTTGTCTGTATGTTCTTGGTAATCTCTGAAACAGCCAGACCGATTTTGATGAGACTTTCACTCGCAGATTACTCCGTTACGAAAAACTCGCAATATATGTGGCTACTTTCGTTTTAGATTATGTTTTTTTTAATTCAAGAGACATAAATACAATAATAGAAAGAAAAAGAAAGAAAAAAAAAACAATAATAGCTAGTAATGTCGTACAAAAATAATCTCTATATACATATTTTTTATGTACGTTTAGTGGTCAATAATAAATGAACATCGGAATTCAAGTACCTACAGTAAATATTGAAATTTCCAAAAATGTTATTTCACCATTCTTTCAATCCGAACAAAACTGGTTCCGTCCCAGCGGATTGATCAACACGATTGCCTCTTTAGGACTACATAAATAGATTTTTCTTTTGAATGGCACATTTGCGAGAAAAGAGAGTCGATTGCAAATCCATGGAAATAGTCTCGCGAGGCGATATATATCCCTCCCTCGAGCATGGCGCCGTTTAGAGTTACAAACGGAAAGCGGAAACAATATTTGTTTTTCAAATCGTCCGT